TGGTCATAACTCTGCTCTTATGCAATACAAGAAAAGGCACGTGTCAAGACCAGCAGTAAATTTTATTAATGTCATAATCAAAAAGAAATAAAAATGACATTACATTTTATGAGCACAAAATCTCCTGACACTATTCAAAAATGATTATTACGCAAAAATGTTTGGCATTACCCACTCCCTAAAATTGAATTAGGACGATTATGTTTTTGCCTGTTTTCCTGTTAGCAAAATATCTAAAAAAAAAGTAATCATTGGTTGTGCGTCTACATCTGATTAACGTTTGGTGTCAGCCTCATTCAAGATGGCAACCACATCCAGCTAAACTTAAACAACACAACAATGGTGATAAGTCAGTCAGTTTTTATAGATTGTCTGCAAATATTTGTGTGGTAGTAGCTGAGAGTCATTACATTAATTCAGTTTGACTAAAACGGCAAGTGAAATGCATTACTTTGTTCATGTCAGTCATTTACCATATGTTTTGGACTTTAAGGTGCAACAAATTTTAATCAGGTTACCTGCACGTTTTTTTTTTTGTTTTTTTTTGGTGCTGAGACGTTTCGCCTTCCATCCAGAAAGCTTCATCAGTCTGAAGAAACACCAAAGAAAACTGCTTCTCAACAGCTTACTCCAAAGTGGGAAAAAAAAACCCTGAAAGGCACACTTAAAATCCTTTAATTTTCTCAAAAATCAACAGTGAGCCTTATAATCTGGTGCGCCTTATAGTCCGAAAAATACGGTAAAAAGAGAATCCTAAATCACGTGACACTCAAATAGAAAAAAAATGTCTGCTGATAAATGTGAATAATCCCTTCCTTCATGAATAATGCAGGTGTGGCTGTGCACTTAAATCATTTGTATGTATGGAAACAAAGCAGCAACACCTTGATGAACTTCCTCATTAGTACTTAGGCTTAATTAAGACATGAGTCTCTCTCAAGTGCTTCTTGAGAGTGTGTGTGTGAGGATACCTATCAGTGCTGGGAGCAAGGCAGGAGGATCAGCCCCTCTCCTACACCCCGATTGAGAAATCTTAACTGTGCACGTTTTAAAGAGACCAGCTGAAGAGACAAAGGCATCTCTAGGGTCAGCTGGCTGCCTCCTGCGATGCTGTAGGAGCAGAATTAGTGTTTGACACCCCCGAACGAGGAGGAGTGAGGTCAAGTAGCTTTTCAGGAGAGTACACGGTGTCAGAGGGTCACGACTGAGGTTAAACATCAATGCGGGGAAAGAAGGGATTATGTTTTATCTTGATTGGGGAACTTTGAAAGAAGAGGGAGCATTTCATGGTTGATGCCACTTTTTAATGTTAAAGTTTTAAACAAAAATGTTGCACAAGTTTTACTCAGTATCTGTAAAACTGTCCATTTTCGTATTTTTCAAGGTCATTTGACTGTAATCTTAGATTTGGGTTAACTCCAAAAGTTTATCATGTATAGGAAGATATATATATAAAAAAAACTTTCTGAAAGATTCATTAAAATCCATCCCGTGGTTCATGAGATGTTTTGCTAACAGATTGGCACAGTTGACATCAACAGATAACGGCAAAGCTAAAATAAAAAATAAAAAGATCTCGTACAATTAGTGAGCCCTCAGAGTATGTGTTGGCAAGGACTCTCAGATACTGCTCCACCAAATTGTAGCTGTATTTCTGTAAAATTGCTCATGTTTGTGCCATTTTAATGTTTCTCAAAGTTCCTTTGCTGTGGTGATCATTTTAAACACTGTTGCTCTTGAAGTTAATCAGCTATAAAAGTACAACCAATGATTACTTTCTGTGAGTTCCATTAAAATGATTTTACTGGTTCACGAGAGATATTTTGCTAACAGATATATGCACCCATGCACAGAGACACATGCACAATATTGTTTCGTTTTTTTAAATTATTACATATTGAGTCACTGTTTCTTAGCCGAAACATTGCAAATATGAAGAATTTATCATAAAGCGATGTTGTTGTTTTTCTCATGCTCCGTTTGCTGCTTTATTTTGAAGGTGAGACCTTTGTGTTTTTGTTTTCCTCATAGTTGAAATTCATCTTATCATTATCTAAAAATAATGGGACATGAAATAATGAAGGTTTACCTTAAATCTGCAGGATGTGTTTATTCGCTGCAGTTTCACTCTTTATCGTTTTTTTTTTAAGCGGGTCAGACCTTGTGATTTGCTCTGAGCATCATCTTGTTTCCGTAACCTTTCAAACAGCAGCCCTCCATCTGACAACCCCCCAGTCACAAGCTGCTGGCCAGTCGCCACATGCCAGCAGCTGCCACAAACAGATCAACTTTTTCTTTCTTTCACATTTTTTTTCCTCATCTCATACATTCCACATCACATGAGCTCACAAGGGCACACATATATCCACGCTCACACGCTCAAACATATGTTTGGTCTTTCACACTACGATCAACATGTATTCAAAATTTTCAACTTAAATGTAAAAAAAAAAAAAAAAAGGATTTAATTTCAAGTTCATTGCATCATAATTTATTACTGAAATTGGGTGTAGCAGGAGTAAACGAATAACATGTGGCTAAGTTTAAGAATATGAAATATTAAGATTGACACCCTTTTCGTTTGTTTTGCAAGTTTACTGGAACATTACACACACACACTTCGTTGAATTTAATTGTCTTTAATGTGATTAAAAATAATGATGAAAACATTTATAATAAATTCAATTAATCAAAATAAACTTTTGATGTTTTTATTAATCCTGTGAGCTGTTAGAAATCTCAACAGAGAAATATGTCTCTTTAAAAAACACCATATAATAAATACCAGTGATCATCAACTAGTGGTTCATGGGCAACATATGGGCTAGTTCTGCTCGGTATTTTATTTCTAAAATTATTTGAAAATTTTGAAACCTAGCATTTGTTGTAAGAATGTTTATTGCTCAACACTTTTCCTGCCAACATTTTAAACAGACAGTTTTTCCATGTTAAAAAAATTATGCCCAGTTTTGGTTCTTTTCCACTTAGAGTGTGTATCAGCAGCTACTACCACACCAAACTGTAGGTCAATATTAGTGGGGGGTACCGCAGGGGTCCATCCTCGGTCCCCTTCTCATTTCTTTATACCTGCTGCCACTAGGTGCTATTTTCCGCAATCACAACATACCCTTTCATTTCTACGCAGATGACTGCCAAATTTACTTCCCTCTGAGGCACAGAGGCACACGCTCTATTCAACCTCTTCTTGACTGCCTGGCTGACATCTGAGACTGGATGGCTTTAAACTTCTTAAGTTTCAACGAGAAGAAGTCTGAAGTCATCTTGTTCCATCCCAATGGCACGTTCATGAACCACTACATTGACCTTTCCTCTCTAGCTCTGTTAGAGAAACAAAGAGTCACCAATTTGGGAGTGATAATGGACCCTTCCTTAAAACTTAACAGTCATGTAAACATGATTGTTAAATCCTGGTTTTTTTTTTCAGCTGAGGCGGCTGTCTAAGCTGAAGCCCATATTGTCCAAAAATAATCTTGAGACAGTGATCCATGCGTTCATAACATCCAGGCTCGATTACTGCAATGCACTTCTGTTTGGAATCAATCACTCCTCCATTGCACGTCTACAATTGGTCCAAAATGCTGCAGCCCTATTTTTAACTGGTACTGGCCATAGAGAGCACATTACTCCAGTTTTGGCCTCCCTGCACTGGCTACCCATTCACCTTCGGATCCAGTTCAAAATACTCATGTATGTTTTTAAATCACTGAACAGTTCTGCGCCATCTTATCTCATTGATCTTCTGCAGCCATATGTCCCACCGCGCTCTCTGAGGTCAGCAGACCAGATGCTTCTTTCAGTTTCAGAAACCCACCGCAAGCTCAGAGGTGACAGGGCTTTCTCTGTTGCAGGTCCAAGACTGTGGAATGAGTTTCCACTGCATGTCAGGCAGGCTCCCAAAGTCTCACCTAAAAACCCACTTTTATTCCTTTGCCTTTGACACAGTGTGGTTTGTTTTGATCCTGTCTGTATTCTACCGTGTTGGCCATTCAGTTATTATCTGCTGCTATTTGTATCTATATTTTTATTTTGTTTTCCTGTCAGCTGTGCTTGTTTGTTTCTATTGTACAGCACTTTGGTTGGCTTTGTTGCTGTTTTAAGTGCTCTATAAATAAATTGGTATGGTGGTAATATTAGTAAAATCATGATAGTCATTTTTATATTTGTAAGTCCAATTGAAGTTTTATTGAAAGCCCTCCAGCAGTTCCTCAGAAATGTAACCAACAGGTTTGATGTAACTGCCAAACATTTAGCAAAGATATGTTGCATTCAAAGAATGTGCCAGAGACAATGCTCAGCTACTACCACAACAAAGTTTAGCTCGGTACAATAGGCTGAGTTACGGATATTTTTCTGTTTACTGAATTCAGTTGGTCACTTTGAATTGGGTTGACCATGAAATTTAGACAATTGTGGATGTATAGTCAATAATTACTGGAAGTGTCATGAAAATGCATCGAGTGGTTCTTGAGATATTTTGCTAATAACCGGGCACACAAACACACACAGGTTAATTTAATAAGCCAGATTGGGTTTTGAAAAATTCTGGACTTTTGGAAACTGTTTTAGTCCATCATCCTCTTAATTTGTTTTGTTTCGATGAGTTGTTAGAATAATAGCTGAAAATAGCTCATGCAGAAGCGACGTGTCCTCAGTCAGTGATCATGTAAGAGAGCGAGTCCTAAAAGATGTCTCAGAGCAGACTGCTAGGGTTCAATAGGTCTTAATCTGTCTGACTCTCAGATCTCTATTGACACAACAGAAAAGACGTACCTTTGGTTAGTCAAGCGAACATCTCCACTTCTCTTTACCTTCGCCCTGAAACCCTGCTGAGGCCTCACATTTCTAATTTTCTCACCTGATTGCGCCAATCACATTTGAGTTGAATACTGTGACGAACAGGCTCAGGTGCTTCTCTTGTGTTTTTAGCTGTGAAATGATTTTCTCACGGTCCAATGTCCTCTGTCTCCTTGCCCACGCAGAGCCGCATGGCCGAGAGCTTGCGTCTGTTCGACTCCATCTGCAACAACAACTGGTTCACCAACACGTCGCTCATCCTCTTCCTCAACAAGAAGGACTTGCTGGCCGAGAAGATAAAACGCATCCCTTTGACAGTGTGCTTCCCCGACTACAAAGGCCAAAACACCTACGAGGAGGCGGCCGTCTACGTGCAGCGGCAGTTTGAAGACCTCAACCGCAACAAGGAGACCAAGGAGATCTATTCCCACTTCACCTGTGCCACTGACACCAGCAACATCCAGTTTGTATTCGACGCTGTCACGGACGTGATCATCCAGAACAATTTGAAGTACATTGGGCTATGCTAGGGCCTGACACCAGGTGGGAGCTGGGGGTGGGCTAGAGTGCGATATAAGCCGATAACTTGGCAGCGTTCAGCCTGCCGTCAGGCTGCATGTTGGCCTGTCTGCCTGATCTCTTTGCAGCCGAGAACTGGAAAAGAAATGAGGTAGCAAGACGGCCATGGATGGACGATACTGTAGATTCAACCATTTTGATTGAAACATCCGAGCCGATGGTTTGAGATGAGTTTTACCCTATGTGTTTGCACTGAAAATGAGTATGCAGAGACACACACACACAAACACACATCCTTATTGTTTGTTCACATGCAGGATCTTTGGATCAACAGTGGAGCTTTTGTTTGACAAGGTGACGGTGAAAGTTCAAGACCCCTTGCAGTACTTGCCTGTCAAACCTGAGACTGAGTAGAAGGTCTGTGCTGGCAGTTTACTTTTATCTTCTCAACATCGTTCGCCTGAATCAGTTAATGCAGCTTTACAAAAAAACAAACAAAAAAAAAAAACAAATCGATGATGTATTTTGGATCTTCTCCCAAATGATATGAAACAGAGATGAGATGCAGAGGAAGGTTCGAGTCAGTAGATACGAAGCTACGGGGTTTCTGCCAAAAATGAAAGAAGAAAACTGCCACAGTCTCAAATTAAAGTAAGACGTGTTTTCAGCGCACTATTTCTGTTCTGTTCCTTCGGCTATCCCTCAAACGTTCTTAATCCCCCCCACACACACTTCGTTGAATCTTTTTGTGCTTTAAAAAAAAAAAAAAGAAAGGAAATAAAAAGAAAATGTCTCTCAAACCTGCTTCTTTTTTAGCAGGTCACTGACTTTTATTACCAAGAGTATATTCCACTCCGCAGAGTTCAAAGTATTTATGATCATTCCAGCAAGAGACGACAAAAACAGTGCCAAGATTAGTTTGTAAATAAAACCCCATCCAAATTGTTCATTTTTGTTGTGTTTTTATGGACAAATACATGAAAACATGCATGATTTTGTTACTTTGGGATACTTATATATTTTCTTTTGGGATCATGTTTTTTTTTTTTTTTTTTTTTCATTTTTCTTGGTTTTAAATAATATAT